CTTCATCATCCATCGGATGTACCTGGAGCGACGGTGGCTTGTCTCTCTTGTCTGGCTTTTTTGCACTATCCATAAAAAGTCAGTCCCTGAATTCTCGGTTTCGTTTTGGGAACGATAGCAGGGCGATTCTCGACTGCATTTTCCTGCCTAGCTAAGACCCGAACGACTTTGGAGATCTGACTTCCAATCTAATCGCCAATCTCGATGTTCCTTGAAATGCTGGTTCCCAGATGCTCGACTTTTTCCACTGCTGCGGGAGGAGTTCCGTTGACGTTGATGGACGGTTCGTTGTAGACATCAGTTGGCGCCGTTCGGTAGGTGACCACTGTCTATTTCGGACCGACTGTCAATCGGAAGTAGGATAAGCCGGAGACGATGAGGTCCACGCTCCGCCGCATGTCTTCTTCTGTTGCGGCGTTCAGCGCGAAATCACCCACCTTGCGCTGGTCGTAGTGGCTCGTGCTATCGCTTACATATAAAGTATGCATAGCAGTGGTCTGTCGGTTCGGTAGATGCTGTTGATTCTTGGCCGCTTCTCACGACAGGCTTCTAAGTGCATGGCGGGGAACATGAAACTGAAGAGAATGAGAGCGAGCACACAGCCAAAATTCACCGCATTTCTAACCGCAAACGCTTCAGAGACAGCCACATTGTTCTTGACGAGCACAGTCATTCACTCTTACTAATTATGGGAAAAGCTCCGTCACCATTTCGAATCCTCGAACGCGTTATAAAGGCTGATTCCCAGTTTCTAGCATTCTTCTAATAGTTCCATGTCGTTTCTGCAATCCGTACTGCATTTCTGGAAGGAGTCTTCGCTCCAGATGCGTCTACGGCGGATAGAGTAGAATTCGGATGAAGACTACCCGCAACGTTTAGGAGGGTGATTCCTTTGTGATAATCACAGACTTCTCGGCTGCACTTGCGTTTGTGTATGTGGTCAATTATGGAATCCTTGCATCCCAGGCTGTTTCATCTTTGTATTCACATCATCTTGTAAAAGAGATGAATTTTTCTCAGTCGGAGGCCGCCGTATTCTTAGATTTCCGTTGTAATTGCGTCGGCGGCCTGTGCTTTGCTGATGGACAGCGGCTGCACTACGTTCATTGTCTTTTAAAAGGAAGGCGATTGATGCCTCCTTTACATATTGTGAACGGGTGTTCGTGGACAATCATAAACTGCTGCTCTCACCCCTCCAGGATCTAAGACACTCCCGATGCGAGGAGTGTATCGTCCTGACTGAGCGCTGTCAGATCCCCCTTGTTTTGAGGGATGTAGATTCTTTTAAAGGCCACGAGTAAATTGTTTATCTCATCGCGGTCGGGATAAACTTGAATTTCCTTGGCTCTTCCAGTCAGTTAATAGCTCTTTATCTTCGCAATCTCCGTTGCACATGGCTCCGGTATCGGAAGTATGTGGCCTTGTGGCTGATGTCGGTTTAGGTCGTGTGTCGCCTGTGTTTCTCAGAGAACAGGCGTCATACATCTTCGTTTTCGTCATCGAACCGATTCCGGTGTCGTTGAAGTTCGCGAAAACTTTTATAACGGTGGCCTAGATGACATTCCACAACACTCTCAACTGGATTTATCGGCACTGGCAATTGCCTTCAAAGCCCGTATTTATTTGAAGTTGAAATACGTGCAACCGTGAAATCCAGTCGGGAGAATCTAATATTACAGTACTTAAACTCCTTGGTGTTGTCTTACCTTACAACCGCCTGCAAGTTTGGCCTTTCAGCCTCATTGTCAAGACGACAAGGCAGTAACCAGTCCAACATTGTGATCCGTACATCGCACTGGTTAACTCCCCTCACCCCCTTGACGAGAATATGGTCCAGCGGTTGCCAGTGGCAAGAGCGATGGCACACCCACGTTGACATCTCTCGTATCGGGGAGTAAGCAGATGTCTGTAGGTAGGGGAACGTGTTCCGCACAGGCCTGCAGGTGGAGAAGCTGATTTCTGTTGCAAATGGCGTTTCCATGGCAAGCTAGCATTTTCTTACTGGTAGTGTGGTTTGTGTCGATGCGTGCGTTGAAGCCGCCAAGCACAATCAACTTGTCTGTCTTTGGCAGAGTTGTCCGAAGGATATGCAGGTATTTGTAAAACTTACCGTTGACATCGTCGGAGTCGGTCATTGGGGGGAGGAGGGGAGGACAGACGCTAATGACGGCAGTGAAGTTCATCCCGGAGATTGGCAGTTTATTGGTCAGGAGATGTCCCTTGATGCTTTGCGGCAGACAGGACAGCCGTCTCACAAGGTTGTTATTGAGGCTCTAAGCGAATCCGGTGTTTCGTCACTCTACCATTGGACGTCCGGCACCCACCTCCTCCTCCTCCTCCTCCTCCTCCAGTTATCCCTCTTTAGATAAACGGGATTCACTGACTGCTTCAGCTTTCGCTTGGTAGAGGGCCACTTTGCGGTCGATCAGAGCAGTTTTCCTCTTCGAACTGATTAAAAAAAGACGTACATCACAAGCTGCTAGAGTGAACAGTGTCGGTTTGGCAGCCTAGGAGAAAGCACGGAGATGGAGACGAGCGTGCTTGTTGTTTCGAATATTGTCTCAACCACGTGCTTTGCGTCCACAAGCCACAGTTAGCTTGCCGACGGAGTGTTTTACTATCAGCCGTCTAAGCCTCTCGCCCAGCAATTGATGTGCAGAGATATCCCTAGGCGGGGTTGCACAGACATTTCAGGCTGCTGTCCGATTCGACGATAAGTCGTGACATTTATTTGATGGAAGGACCTAAATTTTTCAAGGAAACTTCTGAAATTCAATG